TTTTTTTATAATTTGCTGTGAGACTCTCATCAAACGTTAACCTTCATGGGTAAGAGCAGTTAAAAATCCTTGTTACCTCATGCACGTTCAATCACCGGTATATCTACCTTACATAGTCTTATTGACAGTTTCTTTTTATTTCCTTTTTTTCATGTTTTCGTAAGTAAAATCAGTCAAAAAAAATTTCAAACTAATTCCGTTCTTATTATAATAACGGCGATCTTCGTTCGACTTACGAGAGCGCAAAAATAATTTCGTATAGTTTTATTAAGTTTCCGACTATTAACATTTTCTAAATGGAGAAACCAGAAACTGGGGATAACATGAAGAAAGTAATTCAGAAAAGCGCAGGATTGGTAATAGAGTGATTATTTCTCTAGTACAGATGAGATGCTAGATGGTTTTAAGCAAGTAGTAAATAGTTTCGTATTTCCTACTATAGCATATGTTCAGCAAGCAAACGGCATATACATAAATCTACCCAATCTTCCTCATAAACTGACCGTTCTCGATCATATATGATTATCTATTTCTTGCGTCAATCGCCTACTTGAAAGTTATCAAAAGAGCAACTCAAAAGAGTTTTTTGGCAGCAGTTTTATGAGATGTTTTACAAATAAGAGCTGGGAGAAAGTGAAACACAAACGTATGCAACCGTCAACGACCATCCTGGCAAAGCCTCTAGACATCACAAGCCTCTATGGCTAGAATAAAACTTTTCAATGAACCATCATAAAATTGAAGCTATGAGTTCTTAAACTGTTCTTGGTTTTACAATGAAGGACTTTCAGCAATTCACCTTTCCCATGGTCTAATATCAACTGAAAAGGCTGATATAATGCTCTTCACGGTTGATTTACAGAAAAAATTTTTGAGTAAAAGTGACCAGTACACTGCAAGACTTTTTAAAAAGCCTTGTATAGAGCACCTTATGAAGAGCCTAGAAGAAAAAAAGATACAGCGCATTCAACAAAATCAGCAACTAAGAGATTAGGTGCTTATGTTGCGGGGAGATTATAGTTTGCAAAGGTAGGAAAAACAAGAGTTAAACGCCTTTTCGTCAGCAGTGAACATGGTATGTGATCGCATCCGAGATGTGGTTTAAAAAAGAAGTGAATTTTTAACACCGTCTATACAAACTTTGCTTTGAATCTAAACTCATAAAATAGTTGCTTCTAAGTCTCAAAAGCCTGAATTTTGGTCATGTAAAACAAAAACAATTTTAAAACAAGCTTCGCGGAACAGATTAAAGAACTCTTCATCTTGAACATCTATGAATGTAAATTGCAGCAATGTCATGGGAATTTGACCTACGTGCAATTTACATATATCTCATTACGTGTAGTGATAAACTCCTTACCGAAGTCACTACTGCAATTAAGCAGGGTAAGTTCAGTAGGCTACAAGCAAGATACAAGCAAGATACAAGCATTGAGGTTGTGATTAGAGTGGATCTACTTGGCTCTGCCTAACTGTATCTTTCAGCTTTCTTCACAAAATCATAGCAAATGTTCAGTAAAGCATCCTCACCATAGATAGCGATTTTCATAGCATACAATTAGGCCATCCCTCAAGACGTATGTTTGAAATTTTGTAATCCACCAACGCCCAAAAATATGGGAGACAACGGAGCATAAAAACAGTAAATTCATTATCAAATGGCTGACGCTAGACGCGAACTGTCAGTCTCACATAAGCCTGATGACTGTAAAAACACGTCACCATTTGGGCCCCCATCGAAATAAAAAAAAATCGTCTTTTGCGCCAGTTGACAACTGTGAGCTTCTTAGGCTTCGATACCGAGTTGAAACGATTGGCGAAATTCTAATAACTTCACCTGGATTGTTGCATTCTTCCTACTGCTAATCGATAAGACACGGGGTGGAGAAAGTCGGCTAACATTTATGCTCTGCAGAAAACCTGAGCTATTGCATCCAACCGAACCATAAAAACTCAAAAAATATCGACAAGAGACAACTACCACACACTGACAAATCTAGCCCAACTTGATATCAACCTTTATAACATGTCAACGTAATTAAACATCCTACTTAATGAGTATGGACTTTCGCAGCCTCCAACTTCAATCTTAGGGATTCGGGCATAGTTGGTGGGGGTGGGCGAGGAAGGTGCAACGCTACTTTCACAGAATCATAAATGAACCATTGAGCAGCAGTTAGTGTACCGATCATGATAATACGGGGAACCAGTCCCTTCCAAAGTCCAACAAATCCGAGTTTCTTGATGATACCGCCGATTCCAGAGCCAGCATCCTGGTTCAACTTCGATACTACAGTGTCAGCTGGATGCGAAACAATAGCGCAGAACACACCTGCAAAACACCACAACTTCAAAAAATGAAAGTAGAAAAATGCGTAATTTCACTTACCAGCAATGTAACCAGCGACGAAAGTGACCACAAGTTGTTCT